ATGGAAAAGCTGAACCCCTATGAAATCCCCTTCACTGTCAAAGCCCAGGTCGTTAAAGGCAGCCAAATCCGAGAGGGACTTAGGTAAAGTAGACATCTATATTTATACAGGATAGCCCCTTCAGTGTAGTAAACACTGGTATCAACGGGGGTCCTGTTAACCACCCATCCCACCCCAGGGGAGGACATCCATCACGCAGTAATCTCGTGCGTGGGAGATTAACGTCTCCTGCCCCTAACCCCGCAGGAGACGAGACCTCCATTTATTCGTCCCTATCCGAGAAGACTAGAATATCTGACCATTTCTTGATGTTATAGAAAGGTAGCATATTCTTTTCAATTATTTTAAGACCTTGAGTGTTTGTCCGGCCGGGGCTCGAACCCTCGACCTCCCTCACAACAGTCCAGCGCTCTATCCATTGAGCTTACTGGGAGGCGGTTAGGACAACTCTGTGCGTAAAATCAGGTACACGGCGCAAACTCATTCCGGAAACTTCATACACAACTCTTTTTCTATAATATTTTCAGAGGTATTAATTTATATCATTGTTCCACAACGTTAATGCTTCTGAATTGGGGTAGCCAAAATACACAATTAAGTCAAAATATGTCGCCCTCTGAGCGCAACTGATTAACTCATTCAAAATCATGGCCTTTTCCCCTGGTATAAATGACCAGAAAAGCCGAGCAAGTAAAAATCGTGACTAGAGGTCCCTGAGGACGTAAACTACAGCTCTCGTGATTTTCTTGTTTTTTCAGGGATCGATTGGAAAAGAAGTTGAATTTCGACAACTATAAAGAAAAGTTCTGTCTGCTTCTTCATGTGGAAGAGTATCAAATGCAAAAGGACATCAGAAACTATGATATGAAAGGAGTTGTTTTTAAACAAGAAAGAGGAGACAGACGCTTCCTCATCTTGGAGGTGAGTGGTTGTTGCTAGGGCTGGAAAAGAGATTCACCATGTCTTCCTCGTTGGTAGAAAAAATACCATGGCTGAGGAAAGCAGTTCCCGACTTTTCCTTGCTTGCTTTTTCTTTACGATATCCTAGCCTAAAAATGTCAAACGGAGTTGTAACTAGCGCTAAGTCATCATAGCACGAATTCGTTTGCTATGTTGGATTTTTTAAGTGGTTTCAAAAAGAGAGTGTAAGACTGGTGCGACTAAACTACCCAAAATAAATATTAGTTTTCCAGATAGTTTGTATGGCTACCTGCAGTACTTACTTTTTATTTTCTATTTTTCGCACTCTTGAAAAATTGAAGAATTGAAAACTTACATGTTATCATGTTATCGCTCTTAAAATTTTATCTCATATCTTAAAAATCAAAGGAAAATGATTTTTCGAATTTGTTTTTGTTTTTTCTTTGCGACATTTAGGTGCCAGGTCTTGCAGAAAACCGCCCATCTGTGTTACGCGGTGATCAAATCTTTGCCTATGAGCCAGGAAAACTACACCAACGATACAAAGGAATAGTGCACAAAGTTCAAAAGCTTGATGTGAAACTTGGCTTCGATTTGAAAAAGTATGTTCTAAATGTAACTGACGGATCTTCTTAGAGCCTTGCATGACTTAGTCAGCATAGTGTGAGGCTCCATTAGCAATCCTGGTAATTTATTGTTGATTGACTTAGATACCTGAATCGTTCACCCTGCAACTGCACCTGGATCAGAATTACCTCTTTTTTGGGTAGATGATCCTTACAATGAGCCTCAGTTAAATTCTGGACTGACGAAAGTTTGCGATGAGCCGTAAGTTTAACCTCTGTGGACAGTCACTAAGGTGCGAGGCTGGAGTGATTATGTACTCCTTATTCGATGGTTTATCATATAATACCCTGGGATATTTTGTGAGTTGCGTAGTTTTTTTCGAGCCTCGTGATATACACGAACTTATCCAGAGAGGGGACGATACTTACAGCTGTGCCTCAATTATTTGGAATGCTGCACATTAAATCCCGCGTATTTACTTCCAGCATACCCTACGTGAATGGGAAGAAGTTCGACATTCAGTTCACATTCAATCGACTTTCAGTACAGATGGAACATCGCGCGTGTGAGCAGATTGCATCTGTGAACAGGCAAGAAATGCGCCATGTTCTTTTCCCAACAGAAGACAGTCTCGATCAAAGGGGAGAAATAAACAAAGAAGTCAGGTAAGTTGAGAGTTATAAACAAGCAGCATAGATTTGTGAAAAAGGACAAGCATGCTTTGTGTTCTCGAAGTCTTGTTTACACTTTTCAGGGTCTTCACACAAGAAGGAATTACTAGAAATGTATTTTAGTTCTGTCAACACTCAGTAAATATCTCACCGATCCTTGGACTCATCGCTTTGATGTCTATCTCCTCGAGAAAAGCTTAAAGGTTAAATCCTATGGGTCTGTTCTCATGGATATTCTGCACGACCGGGTGAAGCTGCAAGAATCATGCTGGCTCGTGCCACAACACCTGTAAGAGGCTGCTCGCGCACACTTATTGACCCATCACGCCGAAAAAACTGGTGATCACACTTTTGAATGTTCGTACTAAAAATGCAATTTAAAGCTGCACTGTAAATACAACGCAAGGGAATGTTACAGTTACTAAAACCGCAATCTAGTATGTAAATAGGACTTTTTCGGTAAAGATGCTAAAGTTCAAACTCTATCTAGGGTTATGTGATCAATGAACCGCACGAGAATCAAATGTAGCATTTGGCTGGAAAGAAAACCTACTTCTACTTTTATTTTAGATTCTTTTACGATCGCCACCTGAACGGTGAACAACAACAGGCAGTTCAGAAGATTGTGTCGGGTGCGTCACGCCCTGCTCCATATCTCGTGTTTGGACCCCCCGGAACTGGAAAGACTGTCACTTTGGTGGAGGCTATTAAACAGGTGAGGGGAATCTCTTAGGAAGAAATTCGCTTTTCTCGCTGAACTGATAGAAATGGCTTTAGCGCGCAGATATAAGTTGAAAGATTAAGTCCACTCCTACCGCGCGAATTGCGCTTTGTTACCTGTGTCCAATGTAAAGTGTAATTGGATATTGTCAGCAAAAATGCTCGCAAATTTTGCAAGTATTTCTCACGGGAGCGTAAATCCTGATCATAGCGAAAGGCAAGTTCGGCCAGAAACAGTTCAGCTGGTTGTCAAAGCTGACTTGTTCCATTTAAGGACTAAAGGGAACTATTAAGTTGTTCTTGCAGTTTCATTTCTGGACTGAAAAATGAAACCGACAACTAACTGTCTATCTTCTTTTCGTTGCCTACAGGTGCACGTTTTGATTGGTTCAAGCTACATTCTGGCGTGTGCACCAGAAAACAGTGCTGCTGACCTGTTAGCTGAGCGCCTGTTGGCTCACGTAGATAGAGGTAAATTGTTCCGGATGTACGCTGCGTCACGGGCCTGGGACTTTGTGCCTCCAAAGCTCAAGGTGAACAGTAATTCTTTTCCTTCAACATTCCATTGAGACACTTTCTCCATAGTCCGTCTGACTTCTGAGTAACAAGGAAAACGGTATAACCTAAACAGATATTTATAGTAATCAAATGCCATGAATATGTACTGAACCCAGACTTTAAAGAGAGTTTTCTAGTAGGTCATAGCTAGCGAAGTACAGCACTGAACTATACCTTAATTGCACTTTTTAGGACGCACGAGTTGTGAATTTTGACCCTGTGTCACATGAAGTGTATTATCCCTCTAAAGAGGACTTGATCAGCGACTATCGTATAATTGTCACTACTTTGATTACTGCAGGAAGGTATGTAACATGATGTGTATAAAGTAACCTGGCAACATCAGAACTAGAAGGCAGAAATTAGTTCAAGTTATGGCGTTATGCATGCAACCCCTTTTTTCCTCAAGTGTGGTTTAATAAGACTTCTTGCAGTATAAATACTGAATTACAAGTCTGGCAAGCAAACAATATTAGAGTATTTACACAAAGTATATATCTAAAGAAAAATTTATTTCATTAAAAACTAACAAGCATATATGGCAAAACTAGTTACGTGCAAAGCACGTAGCGTATTTGTTTGAGATAAAGTTCTTAAACCTGATGGTCGAAGTGCCGCGGATATTTGAATTTCTTTCTCTAGGTCTTAATGCTTAACTACATTAAGTATCTACCAGCAATAACGTGAGTGACAAAGAAAACAAACTCGTGTCATCTCACCATATTAAGAGCATTTTGATCGCTAAGTCTTTTTTGCATCATTTTCCAGGTTGGTGTCAGCATTGTTCCCCAGAAATCATTTCACGCACATTTTCATAGACGAGGCGGGTCATGCAACAGAACCTGAGTGTATCATCCCTGTGGCGGACCTCCTGGACCCCTATAACCCCAGGGGCGGTCAGCTGGTGCTTGCAGGAGANGCAGTTCAGAAGATTGTGTCGGGTGCGTCACGCCCTGCTCCATATCTCGTGTTTGGACCCCCCGGAACTGGAAAGACTGTCACTTTGGTGGAGGCTATTAAACAGGTGAGGGGAATCTCTTAGGAAGAAATTCGCTTTTCTCGCTGAACTGATAGAAATGGCTTTAGCGCGCAGATATAAGTTGAAAGATTAAGTCCACTCCTACCGCGCGAATTGCGCTTTGTTACCTGTGTCCAATGTAAAGTGTAATTGGATATTGTCAGCAAAAATGCTCGCAAATTTTGCAAGTATTTCTCACAGGAGCGTAAATCCTGATCATAGCAAAAGGCAAGCTCGGCCAGAAACAGTTCAGCTGTTGTCAAAGCTGGCTTGTTCCATTTAAGGACTAAAGGGAACTATTAAGTTGTTCTTGCAGTTTCATTTCTGGACTGAAAAATGAAACCGACAACTAACTGTCTATCTTCTTTTCGTTGCCTACAGGTGCACGTTTTGATTGGTTCAAGCTACATTCTGGCGTGTGCACCAGAAAACAGTGCTGCTGACCTATTAGCTGAGCGCCTGTTGGCTCACGTAGATAGGGGTAAATTGTTCCGGATGTACGCTGCGTCACGGGCCTGGGACATTGTGCCTCCAAAGCTCAAGGTGAACAGTAATTCTTTTCCTTCAACATTCCATTGAGACACTTTCTCCATAGTCCGTCTGACTTCTGAGTAACAAGGAAAACGGTATAACCTAAACAGATATTTATAGTAATCAAATGCCATGAATATGTACTGAACCCAGACTTTAAAGAGAGTTTTCTAGTAGGTCATAGCTAGCGAAGTACAGCACTGAACTATACCTTAATTGCACTTTTTAGGACGCACGAGTTGTGAATTTTGACCCTGTGTCACATGAAGTGTATTATCCCTCTAAAGAGGACTTGATCAGCGACTATCGTATAATTGTCACTACTTTGATTACTGCAGGAAGGTAGGTAACATGATGTGTACAAAGTAACCTGGCAACATCAGAACTAGAAGGCAGAAATTAGTTCAAGTAATGGCGTTATGCATGCAACCGAGCAAATGACGTTTTTTCCTCATGTGTGGTTTAATAAGACTTCTTGCAGTATAAATACTGAATTACAAGTCTGGCAAGCAAACAATAATAGAGTATTTACACAAAGTATATATCTAAAGAAAAATTTATTTCATTAAAAACTAACAAGCATATATGGCAAAACTAGTTACGTGCAAAGCACGTAGCGTATTTGTTTGAGATAAAGTTCTTAAACCTGATGGTCGAAGTGCCGCGGATATTTGAATTTCTTTCTCTAGGTCTTAATGCTTAACTACATTAAGTATCTACCAGCAATAACGTGAGCGACAAAGAAAACAAACTCGTGTCATCTCACCATATTAAGAGCATTTTGATCGCTAAGTCTTTTTTGCATCATTTTCCAGGTTGGTGTCAGCATTGTTCCCCAGAAATCATTTCACGCACATTTTCATAGACGAGGCGGGTCATGCAACAGAACCTGAGTGTATCATCCCTGTGGCGGACCTCCTGGACCCCAATAACCCCAGGGGCGGTCAGCTGGTGCTTGCAGGAGACCCTAAGCAGTTAGGACCAACCCTCAGATCCTCGATTTCACAGAAGTATGGACTGGGTGAGTATATCACAGGCCACATCTGTAAACAGCAGTCACTGCACACCTATTTCCCTCGTCTAAGGTTTAAGGTTTTAAGTTCGTGTATGTCTAAGAGTAGACGACAGGAACACTTAAAATTCAGGCTAAACTTCACATTTCAGACTAAAGGTTAACGCCAAACTTTTGCTTCTTTGAAATCTGCTTCTAAAATTTATTTGGTGCAGTTATTTTCAAAATGGTAATCAATAGTTTTGCTACTTACCCGCTAAAAAGGAGCAGAAGCGTCCTTCTAAATGAGTCACTCACTCTCTTAACTCTTGTCGATTATTCACAGAAATTTCTCTTTTGGAACGTTTGATGACGTCAAGTCCCGCTTACACTCGTGGTCCCAGCGGGAATTACAACTCGAATCTTTTGACAAAACTTGTGAACAACTATCGTTCACACAGAGCCATTATCGAGATTCCTAAACAACTGTTTTATGAAAATGAGTTGAATGAATGTGCTGGAGATTTCAGGTTAGAAAGTCATTCATATTTCTTTTGAACGACGACCCGATTCTACAAAGCCATAAAAACTGAGAAAATAGCTATACTCTTTTGACACTTAATTCATCATAATATGATATCAACAATACTTTATTAGGGAAGGGCCTGTAAAACGGACGGACTTTCATATGATTTGGACGGGGATACCGGTGGGAGATTTTGGCGTGAGGCACAAGAGCATACCAAACTACACGTGACCTGCACTTTAGTGACCCCCCTCCCCC